TTTTAAATTAAATTTTAATTAAATAGATTGATATAATTTAAAGTTAATATTCCCTTATATGTACGTTTCCCATATTAATTTTTTCTTTACTTTCACTTCTCTTCCATTCCCTTCTCCTCCAACCTCTTTTTTTTCTCTTTATTAACTTTTATTCAAAAAATTTAGTCATATTAGGAGTTGAATCCAAGATCCTCCTTAAAACTTTTAAAAAATTATTAATATAATTCATTAATTTTAATTCTTATTGTTTTTATTTTTAAATTTTTATTTATTTCATCCGCTAATTTTCCTTAGATTAGGGGCGGTTTGCCCTACAATTGATGCTCCCTTATAAAATTACTCGCACTTTAGGATCTGCATTGCAAAATACTTTTAATTTTTTTTTTCTTATTTTTTTAATTTTATAATCAAACTGTCGAAAAATTAGAGCAGCGATGTTCGTTACCCAAAATGGGCGGTTACGGCCTTAACATAGGTCACCGCCTACGTAAAAGGCTTTCCCCCCACGAAACTGGAAGTCAAATCTCGACCAGTCAACTTAGCTCCATGCGTCCCTCACCTTCGCACACGCTCCCGCCGAATGCAGCTTATATATCTTTGTTACAGTTTTCAATTTCAAGAAACAAAAACAGAAGAAAATTATTTCGGATCGACCACCGCGATTCCTTCCAAACGCGGTTGCAAGGAGAAGAGAAATTCGTTGGGCAATCGGATTGTTAGCTAATCGTATGAATCTGCTTCGCAATCGCCCGTGGAGTTTAATTTCGAGAATGACCCAAGAAATGAACAAGGCCGATGTCCGACCGTCTGCTACAGCCACCGCCACACCAACTGTAGCAAAGAAGAGATCGTTGTGGCCTTCTGTGTTACGTTGGATCCCTACTTCCACCGATCATATCATTGCCGCAGAGAAGCGTCTTCTCTCGCTTGTCAAGTATGTTCTCTTCCTCTCAATTCTGGAATTGGTGAAATGAACGCTTTTGTTTCCTTTTCTTTGTTCAATTTTTCTGTTGAAACCTCTTAGTACTACTTTATTTGATGGAACCGTATGGTATTTTGCTTGCTACATTTATTGTTAGAAAAGAAAAGAAATGGTTTCCAAGTTTAAAATTAAATTGGATGCAGTTTTCATTTTAGGTTCAAGTTTAGAACGCATTAGAACAAGTATGACTTTGTGTTTGTTTTTGTTCTTCCATGAAAATTTAGACGTGAATCCTAAGGTGTGGTTGAATTTTGGTTTTGATGATCTAATGGATTGAAGTGGTGGCCTATTTTTGATAATGTGTGGTGTGGATTGTTAAAATGTCAGGACTGGATATGTTCAAGAGCAAGTGAATATAGGTTCTGGTCCACCTGGCTCCAAAGTTAGGTGGTTTCGTTCTGCAAGCAATGAGCCAAGGTTCATTAATACAGTCACCTTTGACAGCAAAGAGGGTTCACCGACTCTTGTTATGATTCATGGATATGGTGCTTCTCAAGGTTTCTTCTTCAGGAATTTTGATACACTAGCCAGTCGTTTTAGGGTTATTGCTATTGACCTGCTTGGGTGAGTTGCTTTTGTCTTCATAATTCCATTTTTAAATTTGAAATTGTCAACTTTACTTACAACTACAAGTCTAAATGTTTAGCTTACTTAACTTAGCATTACCACAAACTGCCTGTAACATCTGATTTATCCCTCCAGAAATTGATACAAGGTTGTATATTAGTAAAATGCAACATCATACTAACTAATAAGCATGATTGCACTGTTGAGCACTTTTGTATACATGCTTGGTCCTTGTCAAATCGGTAGAGAGTCTTAGCTTGGCTCATAAATTCACAATGAGCTAAATTCTTCAGTTTGGCCTGTGATCTTCTAACAGATCTCGATGTCAATATAATAAGGACAAAAGCTTTTTGTGTATGTAGTCCGTTATTCTACTTTCAAGTTAGTGTAATGTTGTGCACATTTCTTTGCATATTGGATTTCTAATACCAATCTCCCTAGCCATTGCAGTGGTAGAAACCTTTTTCATGCAGTGTTCAAATGTCCCTTGTTTCCATGTTTCTAATTGTAGAAGTGCTTTCTTATCATGAGTTTTATTTTTGAAAGACTGTTATTGTCTGCAACTTCTTAGCCGTTTTCTTTGTCTACCTCTTTTACAGTTGGGGCGGATCAAGCAGGCCTGATTTTACATGTAAAAGTACTGAAGGTTAGTCAGGTTTTAGTTTGTAAATTGTCTCATTGGTTTGGTTCTACCATGCAGCTTGCCAGAAATCCCTTTATACTTATAGTCTGGCATTTCTGTGCTGGTAACAAATTTCTGTATATTCTATCAATGATGCAGAAACTGAGGCATGGTTTATTGATTCTTTTGAGGAATGGCGTAAAGCAAAAAACCTTAGTAATTTTATACTACTTGGGCATTCTTTTGGAGGATATGTTGCGGCTAAATATGCTCTGAAGGTGATTGTTTTTGCATGTCCCATTCGAACCTTAGCTGCAATAACATTTTCTGTTCTGTTGACCTGTGCCTTTTTTTTTTTTTTTAATTCTGTTTTATTTATAGCATCCCGGGCACATTCAACACTTAATTTTAGTGGGACCTGCGGGATTTTCATCAGAAGCAGTTGATCAGTCTGAGAGGTTTGCTCAGTTTAGAGCAACATGGAAAGGAGCTATTTTGAACCATTTGTGGGAGTCTAACTTCACTCCTCAGAAAATCGTGAGGTGAACAAATTATTCCTTTTTAATTTCGTTTTATGAAATGTTCTTCGAGTATTTAAATAAAAGCTTGATTAGTTTCGTGTTTTGATGGTATTATTTTCTTGTTACATTCTTTCATCTTCCTTGTTTTAAAATTTTTCTCTGCCACCAATCTCGGAGTTTGTCAAGTTCATGTCCCCAAAAAGCTAGCTACAAAAGAAGATTATTTTTCTCTGTTAAAAATGAGATGATATGGAAATCAAAAGTTTTTGATGAATCTATCAAATTATATCATCTATGAGGCTATATCTTTATTTAAATTACTACTACCTTGGTGTTGTTTCTGCACGTCTTTCTATTTATTTATTTTTAGTCATCTGCTTTTTGTCTTCAAAGCTTTCTTTTCCCGAATATCAGTTACATTGAGTGGCCTTGGTTTATTGCTTTTTGCATATTTTTGGATGACTCTTGATGCAGGGGTCTAGGTCCTTGGGGTCCAAATATTGTACGGAAGTATACTACTGCTAGATTTGGTGCATATTCATCTGGGGATGTATTGACAGAAGAGGAGTCTAGACTGCTGACAGGTATATATAGTAAATTGTTCAGATTGTTCTAATTGCTGACATGGATTAACAAATTTCTAAATTCTAATGGCTGTTTCTCTGGATGAAGATTATGTGTACCATACTTTTGCTGCCAAGGGTAGTGGAGAACTCTGTATGAAATACATCTTCTCATTTGGAGCATTTGCTCGGATGCCTCTTTTGAAAAGGTTTGTTTATTTTGTACTTAATCAAAGTTGTTCATCTGTTCAGTAAATTGGTTTACCAGTATCATTTGCTTCACATGTATGGCATAATATCTAATTGATATTTCTGGGCTTTATTAAATAGGCCTTCCAAAATTTAGTTTATTCACAATCTCTGCATTCATTTAAAAGCTTTGTTAGAATGCAGGTCATGGGTGTGCAACTGTGCATATGCACAAGAAAGAAGCCGGTAAACTTGAATAAAGAACTAATTGCAACTAGAACCCGCTTTAAAATCTCAAATATCTAACTTCCTGAGAAAATTTTTATAAACTACACGCTAGGAAACACGCTATAGATCCAATGTGACAACCCACTTTTTCAGAAAAGAATAACTTGTTTGGGAGGGTTCTAGTCATCCTTTTCTTTCGTACATTAATCATCTTTTTTTTTTTTCTCTTTTTTAAAACATATTGAATCTAGATTCTAGATGGTAAATATAGATGTGAATAGTTTAAACCAAATCTCTCCATTCTTTTTTTGAACAGTGCATCAGACTGGAAAGTACCAACTACCTTTATATATGGTGTTCAAGATTGGATGAACTACCAAGGGGCCCAAGAAACTCGTAAGCAAATGAAGGTTCCATGTGAAATTATCAGGGTTCCCCAGGTTTGTTTCCCTCTTTCAATGTAAGAATAAAAACCGTAGGAAGGCTATTATGCCAGAAACATTTTTGCCTTTACAATGGGAATCTCTGTTTTTATTTGGAAATGGACTTTATTGCTCTCAAACACAAATGATAACCCAAAACCATACCCTCTTCTTCTAGACTCCTTATCTTTCCATTTTCTATGCAGGGTGGCCATTTTGTGTTCATTGACAACACAAATGCATTCCATTCAGCCATGTTCTACGCATGCCGGAAGTTCCTATCTCCAAAACCTGATAATGAATCCTTTCCTGAAGGCCTGCAATCAGTGTAGACAAGTGTATGTTGTTCTTTCCCAAAGAATCACAAGGAATTTTTTTCAAATAGTTAACACTCCTTTGCACTTGTTCTTCATACATAGCACATAAATGTAAGTGCTTTTAGGTAGTTCCCTCACTTGTATATACATTAAACTGAATCTTCTCCCTTTTTCCGATAATTAAACCATTTTCACTGAGAAATCAATAGCCCTTTTACCCCTTTCTGTATTTGTTAGTGTGGACAGTACTATAGCCTGCTGGCTAAATTAAAAGAGATCAATTGATGCCGAAAATACTGTTGTCCTGTCCTACCCCACCCATTGTCATGACCCGTTTAACTACAGGGGTAGGGTCGGGTCTCTGAACTGTTTGAGCTCACAAGACCTGTTTATCTAGCTGCCACCCTTGGTACCCTTTATGACACTACTGTATTCGCGTGCAGACTCTATTATCTACTGCATTCATTTATCATTATTATTATATTTTTGAAAATTTTAAGCTGATACAGTGGGACCCGGAAGCACACCACCTCCGTGTCAGTCTATTACTGTTTCACAACAGTTTCATGTCAGGGGACCACGTGCCAGTCAACACCACTTCAAATCCGACGTGGCAAGTCGCCAGAGCATCTAAAGCGCTCACCCTTTTTTCCCTTCCTAGTTCCTCCCCCTCACTACGTGCCACAACCAAACCGACAGTTTCACGAATCTGGACGCCAATCTTTGCTTTTTCCGATGGTTCATTAACGGCTACTTTTTCATTGCTTCCTTGCTAGCCACGTGTACTCCTCCCATTCGACATATTTGGTATTTGGCGGGAAACATATTGGGCCCCCCACCAAACTTGTGCAACAGCGCCGTCGGGTCAAGGTAAATAAAAAATTCGAAAATGGAATTTAATATTTTTCAACAACAAGAATGATCAATTTTAAGTACATCAAATGGGGAATAGAAAAAAATGAAATAAAATTCTTAAATTGGTGAAGGCAAGGAGGTGGGATCAGCTGAGGAAGGAAAATCTGGTCCAACTCTGCAACCTTCAAGCATGAAAACGATATCAGCCATTGATGGTCGATCAAGCGGATCAGGTGCTGTGCAAAGAAGTCCCACTTTTACACCCAACAAGAATTCTTCCCACTCTGATGATTCAGGGTCCAGCTCAAGCAGTCCAGGCTCCAGCAATTCAGAAATCTGGCCTTTTTGTAACTGATTTTTCACCCATTTCACTATGTCTTCATCTTGGGTGAACATCACCGGTTTCCTCCCGGTGAGAATTTCCAGCAGAACAATCCCAAAACTGTACACGTCGGCTTCTTTACTTGGTTGTCCGGTCATTGCCGCCTCTGGTGCCACATAGCCTAATGAACCGACCGGGGTAGATGAGGAGGAGGCTTCTGCTGGGGTTGCTATTGTTAATCTATCTAACCCGAATTCGGATAAATGAGCTTCGAAATCAGCATCAAATAGGACGTTTTGGGGCTTGATATCACCATGAATTATTGGTAATGAATGAAGAAAGGCTAAACCACGAGCAATACCAAGCGCAATGAGATGGCGCATTGGCCAATTCAGCATATGCCCTTCTTGGTGAGAGGCTTCCTGGAGAAGGGTGGCTAAGTTTCCATTTGGCATGTAGTCATAAACCAGCAGCCTTAAATTTGGTGGTCCTGCGTAGTACCCGCGTAGAACGGTGACATTTCGATGCTTGACCTTGCCTAGTGATTCAGCCTCCTTCCGGAAGTTCCCTTCATTGATTGACCCATCCACAAGGCGACGAATGGAGAGGACCATACCGTCTTGAAATGTGGCCTTGAAGACTAGTCCATATCGACCCCTGCTCAATACATTTTCCTCATCAAATTGTCTTGTAGCCTCAAGTGTCTCCGCCAGCGTTATCTTGTTGTTGAACATGACAAGTTTTGGTCCTCCATTTTCCCCACTTCCGCGGCCCCTTTCTCCCCCAGAACTCGCCCGAGCTGGGCTCCTCTTCTTCTCCCCGACCGCCCATTCTCCAAGCTTCTTTCGCCACCTGAACAGACTGTAGATATACCCACAACAGCAAAATGCTAGGAGGCAAGCTCCAACAGCAGACACAACAATTAACAGAATCAGCTTCCTCCTCTTTCTGTTTCTTACATTTGCGCATTCCCTGTTTAAAGGCTTCCCACATAGTTCTCTGTTCATTAAGAACACAGAAGGATCATTGAATTTAGACCCCAGAGCTTCTGGGATTTCACCTTGGAGATCATTCCCTGACAAATTCAAGTACTTCAAGCTAGAAATGTTGGAGAGATTTGCAGGAATGGCTCCGATTAACCTGTTCGACGAAAGGTTTAATGTTGTAAGGTTGGATAATTTTGACAATGAATCCGGAATATCACCTGAGAAATTATTTCCATCTAATAGTAGAGTATTCAAAGAGGAGCATCTTGAAATCTCCGATGGAATTCCACCGGAAATTTGATTCAACGCCAGATCAAGCTTCTTCAAATAAGATAAGCTAGAGATATCATCTGTTATATTGCCTGTCAAATGATTGGAACGAACCTCAAGCACTTCAAGATCAGAACAGTTTCCAAGCTCCGCCGGAAGCACTCCGGAGATTTGATTGTGAGACAGTGAGAGAACAGCTAATGATCGAAGAAACCCAAATGTGGCCGGAATCTGACCCGTGAATGCATTGGAAGTGAGATTCAAGTACTGCAGACTGACTAAACTGCTAAAACCTTCGGGTACATCGCCTGAAAACCTGTTTTCTTCCAGAGCAACCACCTGCAAACTTGGCAAACCGAAAAGCTCGACGGGCAACTGACCGGAAAGCTGCTGCTTACTCAAATCAAGAGTTGCTAAGTTCATTAAGTTGCTAACATCCGGAAACCTCCCTGAAAACCCACATGCACTCAAATTCAGAACCACCAAACCTTTCAAGTCCCACAAGCTATTGGGAATTCCACCAGAAAATTTGTTAAAGCTGAGGTTTAAAGTGCTCAAATTACTCAGCCGCATGATCTCCTCCGGTACACTTCCGGTGAGGTTATTTTCACTCAAATTCAACGTTTCAAGCCCAGAAATGTCCCCAAGACCGGCCGGAATGGAACCAGAGAATTGATTTCTTCCCATAGATACAACCCTCAAGTTCCTCAGTTCACTCAAAAATACCGGCATTGGCCCGGAAAACATGTTACCTTCAAGATCAAGAACTCCTAATGAACCACATTTCACGAGCCCGTTTGGGACTGAACCAGAAATAGAATTGTTTGCTACTCTAAGCTCTTCCAAGTGGAGAAGGTTGCCGACACCGACCGGTAATACACCGGTGAAGAAGTTTCCCGAAAGATCCAAAACCCTCAATGTGGTGAAATTGGTCAACCAGGAAGGAAATGGCCCATGAATGTGATTCTCGTGAAGGTCCAAGACCTCCAAAATGCTACCGCAGCTTGCGTTTGGCGGCTCAAGAACACCCGTGAACTCATTAAACCCCAACTGTACGATCCTCAGCAAAGAAGAATTCCCCGCCGATTTGCAGAAGAGACTTTCGGGAACTGACCCGGATAGCCCATTACGCGATAAAGCCAGCACCTGAAGATTTGGAACCGCACCGATGCTCCCCGGAAGCAAACCTCTAAGCGCGTTACCTTCGGCGCTTAAATGTATGAGCGACGAACAGTTCGCAATTGCTGAGGGCAGCGTTCCGACTAACTGGTTCGAGTCTAGCCACAGATACTCAAGCAACTGAAGCTTGCCGATACTCGCCGGGATACCACCAGAAAACCGATTGTACGACAAATTAATGAGCTGAAGCTGAGATTTCTCCGTGAATTTCGCCGGTATCTCGCCAAAGAAATCATTGGAGGACAGGTCTAGATACCGGAGAGAGAGAGAAATAGCGCCGGGAATTTCGCCGGAGAGGAAGTTATGAGCTACATTCAGGACCTGCAAGTTCGTGAGGTTAAAAACGGAGGACGGAAGGTTACCGGAGAACGAGTTGTACTGCAAATAAACGGCGCGGAGGAGAGAGCACTGAGAGAGGGAGTCAGGAATGGAGCCATTGAAGTTGTTAGAGTGAAGGCTTAACTTCCGAAGCTCGCCAAGGCCAGCGAGCTGGTCACTGAGTCGACCACCGAGTTGGAGGCGAGGCAAACGGAGCTCCCAAACTCGGTTCTCGTAACAAACAATGCCACGCCAGTCACACGGAGCGGACGACGTGGAGGCATCCCAACCGTCAAGAGCACCCAAGGGATCGTGGAGATTGCGTTTGAACGACGTCAGCGCCCGGATCTCCATCGAAGTGAAATCACTAGTCTGGGCAGATGAAAAGGTAGCTAAAATAGCGGCGGCGGAGGCGAGGTAGAGTAGAGAGAGAAAGAGGGAAGTAACCGTTGCCATGGAAGGGAGGAAGAGGAGGAGATGGTGGGGAACAGGGAAGACGGAAGGACAGAGGGGGGGAGCGTGGTGTTTTTCAGAGAGATTTGACTTGGCAGAAACTACGGCATTTGTTGCGGTTTATGCGTTACCCACAAAAGGAGAACAAAAAGGTAAAATTTTTTTAAGGAATGGTTTGTGTTAAGAAACAAGTAGGGAAATGTGAACCGTCCTTCGGATTTAAATGGTTTGTTTCGAGTTTTAAAGCGTTTGGATTAATTGGTTGGAGTTTCGAATCTTATTAATATCTTTGAAAAATCTTCTTTTCTAATCTTAAAATTGTAAATTGTTCAAAAAAGGAAAAAACAAGTAGGGGAATGTGTGGGGCTTTTTTTCTCCGGTTTTGGAGTAATTGGCAAAGGAGGGGAGGAGGGAGGAGAGAAAAAGAATCACGAGGAACTTAGGAATTGGGATGGGGAGTGGAGACTCCACAGTAATTGTATCATGTTGTTTATGATGGCCTGGCCTTTTTTAATGCTGAGAAAGATGGCCCATTGCAACACATATGGACCAAGTGTATTAAATTCAAGGCCCATATATTAAATTCGAGAGGGAGGATGAGGGTGGTGGTGAAATTTTTGCTTTTGCTGTCTTTTGGATATATAATCTATAGAGTATATAGCTGCGTTGATTTGGTCATGAACAAATGGAACGTGTGTGTGTGTCAAATGATTTGGGGTAAGGAGTATTTAATTCAATGCATATGGGTACATATTATTGGTCCTCTGCAATTTGCGTTGCTCTATGATGATGGGATAAAATTAGATGCAAAGATTTCACTTTTCCATCACAAGATTTGGTAATGAAATGATGTTGATCACGTTTTCGCTTTTAGATGAATGAAGATTAAAAACAGGCTAGAGAGTGTCTTGGAACAGGCTGTCACAAACTCTAGGTTCCATTTTGTATATGCATTCTTGCTTTTCAGTGCAACAAAAACTTAGCCGAATGAATACTCAAATAATTTAGATGCACTATCAAAATTCTATTTTACTAGCTGATTTTTTTTTTTTTTTTTATTTCTCTCTCTTTGTTTACTACCTTTATTTTCTTTTGATTCATTCTTGATTGATTTCGGTCGCTCTTCATTAAGGTTCTTTCTTTTCGTGTTTGTTTTTTCATTCGTCTGACTTTCACTCTCTTTTTTATTTAGAGTGGCTCTCCTTTCTTTCGGTCTGATTGATTGTTTGTTTGTTTGGTTTTTTTTGTATTTGATCGATTGATTGAAAAAAAAAAAATTCCCCTCTTTGTACAATTGGAAAACTTTCTTGGTGATTTTCCTAGAACATCCAACCAACCAAACAACCTTTGAGGATGTGGGTTATCATGTAGTCGTCTTCCTTGACAACAAGATGGAGAAAAAGTGATTTTGGGTTGTTAATTAATGATCATGGTACATCAATTATGGCATAAATCTGGCATTGGCTCCTTGGTTATCATTACAAATTAAGCTTTCCTTATGTCTAACATGGTTTAAACTTTAATGACTACTAGGCCCAACGCCTTTTCTTCCAGCAGCAAAAGGTATAAATGAAGGCCCAATGGCCCAACTTAGTTCCAAAACAGACTTCCGTTGCCGGGACTTGAACCCGGGTCTTTCGGGTGAGAGCCGAATATCCTAACCAACTAGACTACAACGGATCCCTGCTTAGACATTCTCCAAAATTTCTTATTACGATTATAAAATAGGAGGGTAATAGCCACCACGTACGTCGAGAGAACCACAAAAACTTGGTTTTAATGGTTTACCTTCTTATATTTATATTTATAGGCTTTAACTCAATTTTAACCTCTTATCCATATAATTAAAAAAATAACTCTTATTTATAATATTTTATTAATTTTATTAATTAATTATTAATTAATAAAATTATCAATCAATTAATAAAATTAATAATTAAGTAATAAAATATTATACAATAAAATTATTTTTTACGATCATAATAAATAAGGGGTTAAAAAAAAAAAAAAAAAACTAAGACCTTCCCATCTAATAAGATAAAAGACAAAAAGTAGGTTTTTGCGCCGAGACAACAACCAATCAAATCTCATATTTAAAGTGTACCGGAATTCAACCATCACCGGAGGCGGAAGCCACCAATCTACCTTGTGAAATATAAAGGGGTTTAAGCCTTTAGCCGCCTTGGAACGCTAGTCCTTCCATAATGGTCGCCCTGAGACACATAGGCGTTGGCCTCTATACTCCAGTTTGTACTCCACTGCCTCCTCCGAGGAAGCCCTTCCAGTTCGTTCCCACCACCGTTTGCTCTGCCAGCAAATGGGCCGACCGCCTGATCTCCGACTTCCATTTCACCCCCAATTCCGATCACTCCCTCTCCTCTTCTTCCTCCACCGCCACTCTCTCTCCTCCTCTCCCTCCCCCTCCACCCGAGCGCTACGTTTCCATGCCCCTGGATTTCTACAAGGTGGTTAGCCTGATTACTCTGTCTAGCTCAGTTCAGCAGTTTACTGATTAACTCAATTGCAATTTGAAAAATGCAGGTGTTGGGAGCTGAGACTCATTTCTTAGGCGAGGGCATCAGGAGAGCTTATGAAGCTAGGGTTTCTAAACCCCCTCAGTATGGGTTCAGTCAAGATGCCTTGGTTAGCAGAAGACAAATTCTTCAAGCTGCTTGCGAAACCCTAACCAACCCTAGCTCTCGAAGAGATTACAATCATGGGCTTCTAGAGGATGAACGCGACACTATCATCACTCAGGTGCCCTGGGATAAGGTAATTTCGATTTTCGTTGCTGTTTGTTTTTTTGGGAAAGTGAGAAGGAAACTGAGGTGATTGTTGATGGAAATGTAGGTTACTGGAGTCCTGTGTCTGCTCCAAGAAGCTGGGGAGACGGAGGCAGTGCTTCAAATTGGGGAGAATTTGCTGCGGGAGAGGCTGCCCAAGTCTTTCAAGCAAGATGTGGTGCTGGCAATGGCGCTTGCGTACGTGGACATGTCTAGGGATGCCATGGCTTTGAATCCTCCGGATTTTATTAGGGGTTGTGAGGTGCTTGAGAGGGCCCTGAAGTTGTTGCAGGTGACTGTTTGTGCTTTATTTATAGTGAACTTTATCAATATCAATATTGAGTTTGTTTGAGCTCTGGGTTCCTAGATAAACTTTTCTTATAAATGTTAGTTCTCTAAATTGGTGGATTTTATAGTACTATGTTTTCTAGTTGAATTAAAATACACATGCATTAAATTTCATTGCCCAAGTAACAACTACAGGTGAACAAATTATAATATATTGTGCCTGCATTTCATTTTATCTTTTTTGGCTTCTTGATGTGTATGATTGATGTTGATTTTGTTGATTAAACTTATGCCTGTTGATTTTAAGCAGAAGATAAGTGATCCTACATAAGCTATAACTGATAAATCTGTGCACTGTGTGCAGGAGGAAGGGGCAAGCAGCCTGGCGCCAGATTTACAGGCACAAATTGATGAGACCTTGGAAGAAATAACCCCACGCTGTGTCCTGGAACTACTAGCCTTGCCCCTTGGTGATGTGTACCGTACAAAGAGGGAGGAAGGTCTTCATGGTGTGCGCAACATATTATGGGCTGTTGGTGGAGGGGGAGCAGCTGCAATTGCTGGAGGATACACCCGTGAAGATTTTATGAATCAGGCCTTCTTACGCATGACGGCAGCTGAGCAGGTAGAGTTTTTAAGTGCTGCTGAAAAAGTTTCCTTAGTTATTTTAGGAATTCTGATTAACTTCCCCTGTTTTCTTCTTGGATTTTAAATCTTTTCCATGAAAGGTTGATCTATTTGTAGCGACACCAAGTAATATCCCAGCAGAAAGTTTTGAAGTTTATGGTGTAGCACTTGCACTCGTTGCTCAAGCATTTGTTAGTAAAAAGCCTCATCTTATCAAAGATGCTGATAACCTCTTCCAACAGCTTCAACAGACTAGGGTAACAACTTTAGGGAATCCTGTCTCTCCTTATTCTCCTACAGAAAACCGTGAGAAGGACTTTGCTTTGGAGAGGGGTCTTTGCTCATTGCTTGTTGGTGAGATTGATGAATGTCGGTCATGGTTGGGCTTAGACTCTGATAGCTCACCATATAGAAATACATCAATTGTAGATTTTGTGTTGGAGAACTCAAAGGATGATGATGACAATGACCTTCCGGGTCTTTGTAAATTGTTGGAGACATGGCTAATGGAGGTGGTTTTTCCTAGATTTATAGATACCCAAGATTTACAATTCAAGCTTGGAGATTATTATGATGATCCTACTGTCCTCAGATATCTCGAAAGCCTCGATGGAGTGCGTGGTTCACCCTTAGCTGCAGCGGCAGCTATTGTGAAAATTGGAGCTGGGGCTACTGCTGTTCTTGATCATGTGAAGGCTAGTACAATTCAGGCGTTGCAGAAGGTGTTTCCTCTTCATCAAGGTGAAGAGGGTATAAGAAATCATTCAGATGGTGTTGTGAACAACATTATCCCTGGTGCTGAAAGTGAACAGCCTCTGGAAAAACCAAATTTGGAGTATTCTGCTAAGGATTCTGGAAAAAGTATTTTTGATGAAATGCAGGAAGAAGAACCAGTTACTGAGAAAATTAAAGATGCTGTTGTGAAGATCATGTCAGCTGGTGCGATAATTGGATTGCTGACTCTGGTTGCCTTGAAATTCTTGCCTGCTAAAACCTTTTCATCAGTTATGCGTAAAAAAACAAATCCAGCTATGGCATCTGATGTCATTGATGTAGGTATGACTGAATGCTACATACATTGTATACTCCACCTAATTTAAGATAGGAGAACCTTTTAAATTCTAGAGTTCTTTTACACCCCTGCCCCCTCTCTCCTTCAGTCTCTCAGTCTAATCATAGATCAGCTGTGCAGGCTTAGTTGAAGATTCTGTGGAGGAATTACCCAGAATGGATGCAAGGTTTGCGGAACATATAGTTCGCAAGTGGCAGAATATTAAATCTCAGGCATTTGGACCTGATCATTGCCTTGATAAATTACCAGAGGTATAAAAAATTGTCTATTTGTGCTTCTAATAGCATAATTGGAATGCAATTGAATTTGGAACAGCCTCAAGGAATTATTTATCACCAATTTCTGATGTAAAATTTAACTTTCAGGTTTTAGATGGTCAGATGTTGAAGACATGGACTGATCGTGCAGCTGAAATTGCACAGCTAGGTTGGGTGTACGAGTATACTCTATTGAACCTTACCATTGACAGTGTTACTCTTTCTTTAGATGGGCAACGTGCTGTGGTAGAAGCAACCCTGGAGGAGTCTGCTCGCCTGACTGACGTTCATCATCCAGAGAACAATGCCTCAAACGTAAATACCTACACAACAAGATACGAGCTGTCTAGTGCTGGAGCAGGATGGAAAATTAGTGAAGGTGCTGTCTTCAAATCATGGTAATTGTAAGGCATAAGGAGGTGATAATGTAAATACATCTTTGATTCTTTTACTTGTTAGTTGCAATGTTAGTAATTTGGTAATTTCATCCTCATCACTGAAGCATCAAATGCAAGAATGAAGATTTTATTGTCCAAAAAAATAAAGTTTAATCCATTTCCAACTAAAACTAAATTGTGGGTTTATACATTCGAGTCTTGAACCCTGCAGACTTCAGATATAATTTAACTGATGGACGAATAAAATGGGTAGGCTATGTACCATCCTAGAAAGCTTTCTATCTCCTGTGGAGCTTAGAACCAGAGCAGGCAGGCTCTATTTCCAGCTGTAGGATCTTCGTGTGAAATTCCGGGGCAAGAAGCTGAGTCCAAAAACCTCCTTGGGAGCTTGACTGGGTTCTACAAATCCAATCAACTTTGCCACCAGAGCAGCACTCTGCTTTATATGCTCCATGTCTTTTGTGTCTGTCCATAAGCGGCGCGCCAACTGCTGAGCCCTCTGCTTTGTGTTCAACTCAATACTCCATTTCTTGTAGAGTTCTTCTCTCTCCCTTCTTGAGAACTTCTTCGGTACCTGCCTGCTCAACGTTGCTCTCTCTCGGTTCAGATCCTTCATGCTGGAAAAATGGTGTTATACTTGGAATTATGAATGCTCTGGATTTTCATACTAGATTTGCAGAGAGATTAAGAGTTTACCTGGACATTATTGTTGCATTGCGATTATCATTTCTAGCATTAGTTCCAGACGGGAGTGAGTTTTTCAAAAAAGATAACCTCCTTAGCTCAACCTCCATGTACACAGCATCTGAAGGATCGCCTTTGAAGAGAAGAAAGAAATAAGTTCTGTGGATTAACGGTACGTAGCATGCATCCCAAAGTTCGATTATTTGTCTCTGCTGAATCTCAAATTCTGAGGGAGAAGCAGGTTCTGTTGTATCCTTTTTGATTTCTAGAGATTCTTCGGCCTTGTCTGCAACTCCATGAACCTACAAAGTGCAACCCATAACCATCCCTAATAATAATAATAATAATAATAAACCTCACTAAGATGGAGAGTTTACTAGGATTTACAAGAGAATTCTAAATCAAACAATAATCACATGAGAGTGAACTAGTTAAGCATGATGACACAGCGAAATAGGGTTCATATTCTCACCATGTCTTCACTAGATTGCTTCCTTGACAGAGGATTCATTTCACTAATTCGTGGAACAAAATCAAGAGAGGTAGAAGTTCGTTTTCTCACTGAATCATCACCAAGTTGCCTCTCCAAGTGACACTGAGGTCTGCCATTTGATCCTGGTGCAAAATCATGGATGCTAGTACTATCCTCCATATTCTCATGAGATTGTTTATTTGATTGAAGTGTCATTCCCTTCCCCATCGTAGCAAAATCAAGAGAGAGAGTTCGTTTTCTCACAGGACCATGACCAATTTGGTCCCCCAACTGAAGTTTTTCTCTTTCATTCGGTTCATGGATGCCTGTAATATCCTCCATATCTAAACCTTTCAGAGTCCGTGCATCAAAGGATCCACAACGAAGAGAAGTTCTGCTTGAGATATCTTGATTCAGGGAGTCATATTTCAATTCAGAAAGATTTTGGCAAATGCCTCGTGGTAGACCTGGGAAGTTCCTTTCAAATCCAGTAGGTGGTGTGCTAAGTGGAGATGATGTGGCAGTGTTGAGAACCGCCCTACAACTTCTGCTTCTACTTATGCTCCTGCTACTAGCGCCAGATGTATCTGACGAAGTAGGAGATTGCTCTACGCCCTGAAGCTTGATAAGATATTTTATTGTACTTTTCAGTTCCTGAATTCTTCCTCTCAATGCATCATAAGTGTCATCTGTATTCAGTTGACTTGGTCTATCCCCCTTGTGAGCGGATGGCACTGAATCCTCACTCACGGCGCCAGTTATAGCTGATTTTTCTTCTTTTTCCGTTATGGCCAATTTTCCTTCATTGTTACCCACAATGGCTGAGGAAAAATCTGCTTTTAGTTTTAGAGTTGTCCCTTCAATTTCAGCATCATTTTCATTGTTAGTTTCCCCTATACTCATAGGACTTGAATGCATATCTACCTTCTGAGGTAATGATGCTGCACCATCCTCTATGGACCTTATCTTGACTAATTTTTCTTCCTTCTCCTCTGAATCAGTAAGGGACTCATCATATGCTTTTGCATTTGTCTTAATGCATGGCTTTTCAATTTCGATGCATCTAACTTCCTTGCAGAAGTCTGTGGATTCTCCATGCGTTTTTTGAGCTACCTCCTCCCAATCTTGACATGGATCAAGCCGGATGAAGTTAGGAGTACCGTCATCCAGCAGAAATTTGTCATCGGCATTCAAAGAAAGCTCTAGGTATTGGTTGTAACTAGGAGTGTTGGGTTCATCAAAAGTCCTAAGCTGGTTGAAAGCAGCCAAACGTCGAGGATTGGCTAAATTTGGGGTTGCCATTGCTAAATATTCATCCTGCTTTGGTGTTTGAATATCTCCAACTGATCTCAGCAGATTTTCAACTCTAGATTGAGCAAGGTCACGCTGCCGGGTCAATTCTTTAATCTCTTTGTCCATCTGTAAATCGCCGTAAGAGAAAAATCAAAGTCAGCAAAGTTTGATGATACAAGAGCATAGTCTAACTTGAATCTGTTCAATGAGTTCATTATCACCTGTTCAATCAGTATCTCTTTCTCTTTGAGTAATTTAGTGGAATCACCCCGGCCAGAACCAGATACTAAGCTCTTCATCTCACCCTCCAACCTAGCCAATTCTCTTTGCAATAGTTTTACCAATGCCTTATCTGACATTACTAGATTGACCTGGGCATTAGTTGTGACCTCTTTGGCACAGCTTGCAAACAAGAGGGTGTTTCTTGATTGCTCAACATGACTGCTTGCTGGACTCATGGTGCAAATTATGGCTGTTCTTCCATTGGCTCCTAAGGAATTCTGGAGTATGCGTGTCAGCTTGGAGTCTCTATAAGGTATGTGCTGTCCATTTCTTCCCTTGCTGCATATGGTAATAACAATGACAAAAAATAAACGTTAAGGCGCAAAGTTAAAGAAACAAAAGAAATGATTCTCACATAGGATCAAGAACCAAATTTCATTTTAAGGTATAGTTATAGAAGATCATCCAACCTTAATTTGCGAATTACGGTTCCTAAGGTTAGTAAACTCCGATTAATGTGGCAGCCTTCTTTCAATCTTGCACCAGCAGATACTGTTTGGGAAGCACGCTCACTTCCAGCTAAATCTACAAAATTCTGTGCATGAGAACAACCAGGTCATTTTTTCTTGTTCATATTTTAGAAAAGCCCTTATAGATCCTATGGGGTAAAGTTTTTAATAATTGCTGACTTGAAGGGGATTACTGCATCATACCACAGAGGCTGTAAGAGTGCTAGAATTTTGAGCTCCAGAATAATCACGAGAAGAACTTTCAACTGTCTGCAAGAGTGCATCAGTCAACATAGCAGTTTAGATAGACAACTCCTTTAGTTCAGATAAGAAATCTTATTCAAATTCAAGATATACTAACCAGTCGCAGAATCTGATGAGATCTAGAGCTAGTTTCATTCAAAGAGGTTTCTCCTATCTGCCTTTGAGCTATGACAATTTCATACACAAATTCCACATGTAAGGTCTCTCTCCTAAAAGCAAAGGCAACAAGGATATATGAAATGCAATAAGTATGTGCAAAGCTTACCTTCACAAATGGAAAGGAGCTCCTCTAGATGTTCCTTATCTCTTAGAGTCTCTTCAATCAGTCTTTCAACAACTGTCCCTCTCTGTAGAATTCCATCCAGAAAATTAAAACAAAGGTAAAAAAAAAAGATAAAAAAAAGGAAAGATAAAATAAGGCATAAAGAAGGGAAGAAAATTCACCTCTGGATCATCTAGGAGTCTGAGTGGGGTACAATCTGAACTGAGGAGATCTCTGACATGTTCATTATATATCTCCATTGCAGAAAATTTTAACACAAATTCACGTTCTTGATGCTAAGATATAGATCGAAACAAAATGTCATTTACAACCAAGCAACCTAATAATTGACTATAAATCTATAATTAAAACCATTCAGAATGATGCTAAAAGCTGCTATTTACCCTGTCTACATAGTCATATATATCAGCCATTGCAAATTCAGTAATTCCACTCATTGTATATGTCTTTCCACTGCTTGTTTGCCCATATGCAAAAATGGTTGCTGGAGAAACCCGTGATTAATTAGAAAATTTTCACTATTATATTAAGTAAAAACAAATCAAGAAAGAAACAGAAATAAAAAGGAGAGAAGACTACTTACAGTTGATGCCATTGAGTACTGAAAGAGCAATTTCTTTGGCTCCTTCCGCGTAGACTTCTTTTGTAGGGCAGTCACACCCAAAAACACGGTCTACTCTCGATCAATTGCAAAAAGAAAGAGAACAGTAAGGATTAATGGTTACCCATATTTGTAAAATGTACATTTAGGAACTAAATTCACTTAAAAGTTGGATTCAAAATACAGAGTGGCTGTGGCTTAGGCATTTACACAAACACCATGCATTCTAAACCAAATTCAAGAAATAGGCTTATAAAACCATGAACATGCTTACCAAATGTATAGGCAGCAGGGAACATAGACCGCTCCGGCATGCTATGCTTGAATACAATAGTGTTTTTGTTAATGCACTCCCAATCAGACTCACCATTCCTCACAATTTCTTTCTCATTTAAAGGCCTCAATCTAACCGACACAAATATGGTCTCTTCGCTTGATCTCTGCCCCTGCAACTCCCCATGCATCTGCAGTGGCGTCTCCTCCCCCATATTTTCTGTTTCTACAAACCTATCCCTGTCCCCCTCAACTTTCTCTTTCTCTCCTTTTCTTCACAAACAAACAAACAACCAACAATCTTCAGTAATCCCAAAAAACTCTCTCCTTCTCCATTTTTTTTTTTTCACTCCTCTGCCGAAGAAAATAATTCAACAAAAATTATCTGCACCTGTCCATGGTTGATCAAACTCAGTTAGATCGCCATAATCTGAAGCAATCCTTGGAATTGTGTTTCTTCCTTACTGATTCGTCACAACTTCTTCATTCAAAATCCATAAGAAACAACGTAAAAAATTCCGAAATCCAAACTAATGATTTCAGGGAGAAACACAGAAGACTTTGCAATTAGCCAATCCTCTCACGGTCTCACCTATAATTTCAAGCCGCCGAAACAATGAGATTTCTCCAGAAAATCCTTTAACGAAAAAATACAATAGAATCAACAAACTGATAGAAAACGAAGAAGGAAAATGCAGCCAAACAGAAAATGCACCAGAACAGAAAAATTCCC